ACAGGGCTAACAGCTTATATGAGCTATGGCCTCATCTTCCCTGAGACCAGAAGAACTAGATGGTGCCCAGCTACCACTACTGACTGGTCTGATCAGGACCACAGTAGATGGACCCTGAAAGATCAGCAGAAAAACGCAGAACAGAACTCAAATTCTTAAAAAGTCCAACACACTGGACCAGTTGAGACTCGAGTACTCCTTGAAACCATCACCCTGAGATGCTCCTTAAACCTTGAACCAAAACTATCCCGAGGTCACCTGTTAGTGAATAAGACTGGCACACAAAATAAAGGATACTACCTGTGAGTACAGTGCTCCATTAAAAAACCATCACCAAAAGGTCAACATTTACTCTAAAGCAGAGATGAGATGATAAGGAGGCAGGGAAACTAGAGTACTGGAAACAGAACAACCAGAACACAATTGAAGAGAATGTTAGCACATTGTGAAAAATGTAACTAATGTCACTGAGCAATCTGTGTAGAAACTGTCAAATGGGAACCTAATTTGCTGTGTACACTTTCACTGAAAACACAATAAAATATTAAAAAAAAAAAAAAGACAGCACAGTAGTGGGTAAGGATAGGATAAACAAAGAGATCAATGGAACAAGTCCAGAAATAGATCTGCATATATAGTCAACTGATTTTTTACAACGGTACCAAGATAATTCAATAGGAAAAGACGAGTCTTTTCAACAAATGGTACTGAATAACTAAACATCTGTATAGAAAAAAAAAAAAAAGCACAATCTTGGCCTATACCTCATACCAAAAACAAAAACTCACTGGTGACAGATCAGTGACCTAAATGTAGAGGTGAAATTCTAAAGCTCCTCAAAGAAAACACAGGAGAATATGTTTGCAAGTTAAGAGGTAGTCCATGATTTCTTACACAGCGCAAAAAGTTCTAATCATCAAATAAAAAAACTGATAAGCTGGGCTTCAAAATTAAAAACTCCTGTTCATCACTGGCCATCTAAGATACTCCACTGGTCTCACCGCCGCAAGAGAGCATGAAGAACACTAAAGACACAAGGGAAAGATTAGCGCAAAGGACTAATGGACCACAACTACCACGGCCTCCACCACACTGAGTCCAGTAAAACTAGATGGTGCCCGGCTACCACCACTGACTGCTCTGTCAGGGATCACAGTACAGGGTCCTGGACAGACTTGGAGAAAAATGTAGAACAAAATTCTAACTCATAAAAGGAGACCAGACTTACTGGCCTGAGAGAGACAGGAGAAACCCCAAGACTACGGCCCCTGGACCCCCTTTTAGTTCAGTACTGAAGTCACTCCTGAGGTTCACCCTTCAGCCAAAGATTAGACAGGCGCATAAAACAAAATGGGACTAAAGGGGCACACCAGCCCAGGGGCAAGGACTAGAAGGCAGGAGGGCACAGGAAAGCCGGTAATAGGGAACCCAAGGTCGAGAAGGGAGAGTGCTGACACGTCATGGAGTTGTCAACCAATGTCATAAAACAATATGAGTACTGTTTAATGAGAAGCTAGTTTGTTCTTTAAATCTTCATCTATAATACAATTAAAAAAAAAAATCCTGCTCATCAAAAAACATACTAAGAAAATTAAGAGGGGACTGGACAAAGACTGGGAGAAAGTATTCAAAATACATTATCTTACATCCAGATTACATAACCAAAACCAAACCTGTTGTCGTGGAGTGGATTCCAACTTACAGTGACCCTACAGGACAGAGTAGAACTGCCCCATAGGGTTTTTAAGGAGCGCCTGGTGGGTTCAAACTGCCAACCTTTAGGTTAGCAGCTGAGCGCTTAACCACTGCACCACCACGGCTCCGGATTACATAAGCGACGCCTACAAATCAATAAAAAGGTAAACCCGATTTTAAAAAAAAGACTTGGAGAGATATTTCTCTAAAGAGGAACTATGGAAGGCCAATAAGCATATCAAAAGATGCTCAACATCAACAGTTACCAGGTAAAGGCAAATTAAGACCACAATGAGATGCCCCTACATACCCACTAGAATGGCTAAAATTAAAGAGTACCACCACCCGCCACCGAAAACTCTCATCCATCGTTGGCGGCAGTGTAATACCGTACGACCCACGTAGAACCCTGTTTTGCAGTTTCTTGAAAGTTTAACATGAATTTACCATATGAGTAAGCAAGTCTACTCCTGTGTACAGTATTTATCCACAAGAAATGAAAGGAAACGCAGGTCAACGAAAACACTCGTACAGAATGTTCACTAGTTTCATTCACAATAACAAAAACTCTAAAATAACACCGATGTCTTTCAACAGGAGAGGGTTAAACTGTGGTACTGCAATATGACTCAGCAATGAAATAGAAGGAACTAATTCATGCAACAACGTGGATGAAGCTCAAAAACAGTTTTACTCAGTGAGACAAGCCAGACACTAAGGATCGTATGCTGACTAATTCCATTTTTAAAAAGCCCAAGAGCAGGCAGAACTAACCCACGGTGAGGGACATGAGAGTAATTGTTGCCTTTGGGGGAGGGGAGCCCCGGTGACACAGTGGTTAAGGAGCTTGGCTGCTAACCAAAAGGTCCGCAGTTCAAATCCACCAGCTGCTCCTTGGAAACCCTATAGGACAGTTCTACTCTACTATTCTACTATTCTACTCGGTATGAGTCAGAATAGACTCGACGGCAATGGGTTTGGTTGTTTTTTTTAATGGGGGAAGGGGGAATAGCTGATTTTTTAGGGTGATGGAAGCCTTGTGTATCCTGATTGACATATTGGTCACACAGTGTACACATCTGTTAAAACTCAATGACCTAAACACTGAAGATCTATGCATTTTACAGTATGTAATTATACCTCAATAAAAAAAACAAGATGCCATTTTACATCTATTGAAAATACCGCCACCCAATACAGGTGAGGTGTTGATATAATGATCACACTAAGATATGGCGTTTTAACCTTTAAAAAGTAGTTTGTGTATTTATATCAAGAGCCATAAAAAATGTGCCTACTGTAAATATGCTATCAAATGCATAAAAGAAGTCCCAGTGGGATACAGAAACGTTAAGAGTGTTACCTACTAAAGGGGAAGGATGTGCTTCAGGAGTCTTCCACTGTTCTTCATATATTGTGTGTGTGTTCAGCTTACTTTTTTAAAACCCTGAGATCACATTCATGTCATACTTACGCTGGTCCCTGGATGGCACAAACAATTTGCGCCTGTCTACTAACCTAAATGTTGGCAGTTTGAACCCAGCCAGCAGTGCCGTGAAGAAAAGGCCTGGCTATTTGCTTCCATAAAGAAACAAAGTAAACCCTATGCAGCAGTTCTCCTCTGTAACACATGGGGTCGCCATGAGTCGGAATCAGATTGACAGCAATGGGTCTGGGTTTTTGTTCTTTTTTTTTTTTTTTTGGTTTAATACTTATATAAAATTAAAAACAATAAAAAAACAATTTAACTTCCAAATGTTTACATCCTTTTCTCTCATCATTTCACTTTGCAATATTTTTAAAAATAATTATGAGTTGCTTTAGTAATATTTCTTTTTTACGCCCTGACAGGGAACACAACAGAGAGTCCCTGATGGAGCAGGAGAAAAGTGCAGTGCAGAACTCAAATTCTAGTAAAAACACCAGACTTAATGGTCTGACTGAGACTGAAGGAACCCCAGAAAGCATGGCCCCCGGACTCTCTGTCAACCCAGCACTAAAACCATTCCCAAGGCCAGCTCTTTGAAGATTAGACTGGACTATGGGACATAAAACGATACTCGTGAAGAGTGTGCTTCTTAGCTCAAGTAGATACATGAGACTAAACGGGCAGCTTCTGTCCGGAGGTGAGATGAAAAAGCAGAGAGGGACAGGAGCTGGTGGAATGGACACAGGAAAACTGGGGTGGAAAGGAGGAGTGTGCTGTCACAGTACAGGGAGAGCAACTAGGGTCACATAACAATGTATGTATAAACTTTTGTATGAGAGACGAACTTGAATTGTAAACTTTCACTTAAAGTACAATAATAAAACAAAACAAAACAAAATATATTTCTTTTTTTAAATCCTAGGCTTTTAAAAACTTGATCATAAAATTTATAAAACTTTTTATTTATTCTCTAAAAGGAAAATATCTGAATGAAGAAAAGTATGGTGATGATTGCATGTCTTTATGAATACACAAAAAAATCAATGAATTGTATACCTTAAACGGGTATATTTTATGGTATGTGAATTATATCTCAATTTAAAAAAAAGGCAATGTTTTGATTCTGGGACTGCAATGATTCTAATATTATTTAAAGTACTAAAAGTACTAGTGACATCTGTGTAGATTAATGTCTTTAACACACTAAAGCCATTACACATTTTTAAACACTAAGTAGTTGCCAAATTTCAGAAAAGGCTCAAAATACCAATTATGGCAGATTCCTAATTGCCCAAACATATCCATTCATTCTCTCGTCTTACTAACAGGATCCTGGTTTTGTTTGGCATTACAGCATGCTTAGTTATAAAATCTTCCTTTGTCCCCACTACAGCTCAGGGTAGCTACATGATCTTGTTCTTAGCCAATGAGATAGAAATAGAAATCTATTGTTGGAACTGCCAGGAAATCTCCTGTCTCCCCAGTAAAAATGAAACACACTCAGCTGGAATACCCACCTCTTGCCCTTTTCTCTTTCTTTCTGCCTAGAATTAGAACGTGATGCCTGGCAGTGTAGCAACATCTTGTAGCCCTGAGGATGGAAGTTGCAATAAAAGCGGCTGTACTGGAAGCCAGAAGGAGACCCGTTCCTTTACAACTTCCTTGGGCAATAACGTCAACCCAGGACTACCTATTTCCAACCCGCTTGTAATGCAAGAAAAATAAAATCCTTCCTTAGCAAGCTGTTGTAGTTGGGGTTCCATTATATGTGGACCAATACAATCTTGAGATAATGACCAATGAAAAATACACACCATTACTATTTACTAAGTTAACGTATCAATTAATTCAAAAGGAAAACCATCAGAGATCATACCTTAACAGCAGTACTTGGTTTCATGCCACACCGGTAAGTCTTCGCTATCTGCGGGGTGAGCTGGGTTTCCTTCGTAAGCTGCCTCCACTTCCTACACCCAGGTTTTGTGCACTGAACCTAAATGCGAAATAATAAGTCAAGTAAATAAGCTGGCTACCTTGAGTTACCATTGCTATCTTCCACCACTTACTCTACCATCTTCCCAACGATTCCACCCAACCGTCTAGCAATCCTAACCACTTTCTCTCCCCACTGCATCACCACCAGCCACGACAAGCCACTTTCATCCCGCTGGGGTAATTTCTGGCTCAGTATCAGATCAGGCATCGTGCAAGTGCAAAAGGGATCTGAATACTGTTGTCACAAACGTTTCCCGATACAAAACTAAGGAAATTTTCAGAGTTACAGCAAGTTACAGTTAGTCAAAAAGTATACACACTAAATGCAATGTGTTATCCTGGATTGGATTCTCGGAAAGTAAAAGGATATCAGTGAAAAACAGGTGAAATCTGAATAAAGCCTGTAGTTTGGTTATTAGTACTGTACCAAGGTTAATTTCTTAGTTTGACAAATAAGCCTGGTTATGTAAAATGATACATCAGGAAAAACTGGGTGAAGGATATACAGGTACTATCCACACTATCTTGGTAAATTTTCTGTAAATTTAAAATGATTCCAAAATAAAAAGTTTATTTTAAAAAAAGTATACAAATAGCCACATGCAAAAGAATAAAGCTGGACCCCTATCTCACACCATATATAAAAATTAACTTAAAATGGGTCAAAGATGTAAAAATCTAAGTGCTAAACGGATAAAAGTCTTAGAAGAACACACAAGCATAAATCTTCATGACTTCGAATTTGGCAATGAATTCTAAGATACGACACCAAAAGTGCAACCAACACAACCTCATCTACCCTGAGACCAGAAGAACTAGATGGTGCCCAACTACCACCACTGACCGTTCTGACCAGGGCCACAACGGTTGTCCCAGATAGAATGGGAGAAAAACATGGAGCAGAACTCAAATTCATATTAAAAAAAAAAAAAAAGCCAGACAAATTGGAACAGTAGAGAACAGAGGACTCCCTAAGACTATCGCCCTGAGACACTCTTTACGCCTAGAACCACGTCTATCCCCTGAGATCACCGTTTAGCGAAAAAGCAGAGTGCCACACAAAACAAAGGGTGTAAGATCGGTGCCCTACTTAAAAACCATCAGTATGAGACCAAAAGGTCCACAACTTCTCAAAAGTAAAGATGAGAAGGTAAGGCGGCAGGAAACTACAGTACTAGAAAGGGAAAACTAGAACACAATTAAAGAGAATCTAGACACATCATGATAAATGTAACTAAAGTTACTGAACAATCTGTGTGGAAGTTATCAAGTGGGAACCGAACTTGCTGAGTAAACGTTCCACCAAAAACTCAATACTATTAAAAAAGAGAGAGAGAAAAAAAAGCACAAGCAACAAAAGAAAAAAATAAACGACTTTATCAAAATTCAAAACTTTTGTGTATCAAAGGACACTATCAAGAAAATGAAAAGACCACCTACAGAATGGGAGAAAATACTTGCAAATCTTATCCTAATGAGGGCCTAGAACGCAGAATATATACAGAGCTCTTACAACTCAACAACAAAAAAACAAACATCCCAATTAAAAACTTGGGAAAGGAATAGGCATTTTTCCAAAGAAAATATACAAATGGCCAAAAAGCACATGAAAAGATGCTCAACATCATTATTCATCAGGGAAATGTAAATCAAAACCACACTGAGATATCACCTCACACCCACTAGAATGGCTAGAATTGGAAAAAAAAAAAAAAAAAAAAAACACACACCAGAAAATAGCAAGTGTTGATGAGGATGTAGAGACATTGGGACCCTCATCCATTGCAGGTGCGAATGCAAAATGGTGCAGCTGCTGTGGAAAACAATTTGGCAGTTCTTCAAAAAGTCAAATACACAATGGCAGTACGGCCTCCAATTCCACTCCTAGGTATATACCAAAAGAACTGAAAACAGGTACTCAAACGAATACTTGTACATGAATATTCATACCAGCATTATTCACAATACCCAAAAGGTGGAAACAACCCCAATGTCCACCAATGAATGAATGCATAAACAAGATGTAAAAAAATGATAATCTAAAGTTAAATTAATTTTAAAAAAAGTTACCAAAAATTATATCCAAAGTATAATTTTAAATCTAATTAGGATTTGTACTGAAAGCATGAAATTGTGTTTGAACACATACAATAAAAATATGAACAGAAAAAAAGATGAGAAAGACATATATCAAGCTTAACAATGGTTATCACCAACCGTGGTGAGTCTTTAGTGTCTTCTTTATACCACGCGAAATTACCTAAGTTTTCTATAAAAATAAAGAACATGATTTGGTTGAACACTAAATGTAATAAAAGAAAGATTTCTTTAAAAATCAGTATTTTCATCCATTCCACGTGCTTTGAACTGCACAAATGCTTTACAGAACAGCAAAGCTTCACTTTCCTTACCCAGTAGGGGAGCTGCTGGTCTGCCATGAATGCTTTGGGACTGGGTTCGGTTTTGCCATTCCTGGTCCATATTTTTTTCCATGTAGTATATTTGTCATAGCCATCCTTATGACTGAAAAACAGTAAAAATAAATATATCAAGTTGTAAAAATAAATACATCAGGTTTCCAAATAGAAGAGTGGTTAGTAAATCTTATGTAAAGGGCATTAACTAGCCATGTTATAAAACCAGTAAGCATTCTGACTCATGGCGACCCCATGTGTGTTGGAGTACAACTACACGCTATAAGGTTTTCAATGGTGTCATCTTTCAGCAGATCACCAGGCCTTTCTTCTGAGGCATCTCTGGATGGATTCGAACCTCCAACTTTTTGGTTAGCAGCTGAGCACATGAACTGTTTGCACCACCCACAGACTCCAGCCATATTATAAGGAGGAGGAAAATGTTATTACAACACCCATAAAACAGGCTATCAGGAAGGGTGCCCTCCTATCGGTTTTAGTATCTAAAACCAGTCAAAAGGGCCACCTCTGGCTATCTGTCTAGTGCAAATTCTAGTCATCAGCATTCCCCCTCCCCACCAAATCCTTGCATCCAGCCTCCTAAGTATTATCACAGAATAGCTGAGCACCTCCTCGACTTTTCAGATCTTGCTGATTAAGGAGAATATCCGTCATGACAGACATTTTCTGAGCACGCACAAGCATGCACACATGCAAATCGCAGCATCAAAGGCTGGTCAACGTAACAGTCATCCCAGGAATGGCTGAAATGTTCAATTAACCCAGTAAGCCCAGGGGCTAGGGCTCGACTACCTGATCCCCTCAGCACCGCCCCCACCACCACGGAGACCTCACTCAGCCAACAAACCTTCTGTAGTAATGGTCAAAGCATTCGTTACAGAAATGCTCCCCGCAGGAGAGGTGATACCATCGGGAGGTGTAGCCATTTTTGGCACATCTGAAAATAATAAGAGCACGTAGCTTTGGTAATGAACAAATACTTCTTCTCCCTTTTTTTTTTTTTTAAACATTTGTCAATCACATCCTACAAGCTCATTTTGCATTATCTCCACCTAGAATCCTAACAAACATGAGCTATCCAGCGGGGTAATGGAGTGGATGGCTGACTTGACAGTGCCTGGTGACACACAGGGACTCAGACCAGGGTCCCTAAGCCTAGCTGCGCATCAGAAGGCCGGGGGCTTATGCAGACTCCCTGGAGCAGTGACAGGGCTTTATAATATCAAACCACGATACCTCTGGCTCTCGCAGCCAGAATGCACATGTGTACAGGAGAGAAGGGTGACCTCTACGGTAAAAACATCTGGCCCAACACCAAACAGTCAATGAATGTGGCCGGCTGAAATCTGACCATGTATCGGGCAATATGGCACAGACAGCCTGTCAAACAGCCAATAATACAGTAAAATAATAAAAAAAATAATGCTATTATGAACTCTACTACCACCACCACGTTGAGTTTAAAGCATGCACAGGCTTCGCTTTCTAAGTTGTACTGAATCTTAAGCCTTAAATGAAGATTTTCCTCTGGGAGTAAATAGGTCATACTTGTGTCAGTCCAATAAAAATGGCAGGGCTGCAGTTACCTACGTCGTTTCAACGAGACCTGTACGTGTATTATCAAAAGAGACGTCATGTCAGATGAGGGAGAAACAAACCTCGGAGAAAAGGAAACCCAGGTCGGTCTCCCCAGGGAGCTCACGGGTTCCTCCTACTGTGTCACCATCCCATACCCCACTCCACCCTCAACCCCAGGAGACATGCCGCTGTGGCTGGTCAGATTTAGGACACTGTGTTGGCCACTAAGCAGAGCTGACATAGCTGTGTCTTCCCATGAGGCTAGGTACAACAGAGAGAGAGCATAGCAGGGTACGGGGTAAACAGAATGGTCAGGTAATGTCTCTATTATCAGACGACTTACAGTATCTCTATCTGTCTTTAGGAAACCTGTCTTTGGGAACGTCTTTTTGTTTCCGTAAAGGATGCTCTCACGGGCAGGAACGGGCAGCCAAGACACGCTATCTAAACAGACCTTTCAGAAGCACTTGCAAAGCACACAGGACAGGTCGCGGTACAGCCGGCCTTTTCACATTTCCTGTACTTCTTCTCTGAGCCCCCGTCTTCATCCTCGTCCATTGTCTCGGTGGCTTTCTTCTTTGCCTGGAGAAGAACCAGCTGACGGTAAGATTTCACCAGAACAGCCAGGGTGAAGACGGAATGTGTGCCAGTGAGATCACCGGGATGTCAGGAGGACTTTAAACGTGAATTTCAACAACACCCTGGCAGGGGCTTGGGGCCCACGCACAGCAACCCCCTGGAGGCTGCGCTGCGCCAGCAACTCACTAGGACTAGCGCTCTAACCGTTGGTATCTCAGCGGAGAACGAAAATCCCGGGAGCCCTGCTTAGGAAACGGTTAGCGGAGCAAAATCAACAAAAGTCACCCTCACATGAAGATTTACTTTCTTTCTTTAAATGGACCAGACAGATCCTCCCGGTATTCCAGGAAAAAAAAAAAGCTAAAAATGTCTACAGAAAAAACTATATCATTCAAATTTTTCTTTTTTAAAAAAAAAAGGAATACAAAAAATTAGACAGGACTACAAAACAAAAATTAATACACGAGAGGAACGTGCTTCTCAGTTCAATCAGACATACGAGACCAAATGGGAAGCTCCTGTCCAAAAGCAGGACTAGAAGGCAGGAAGGGACAGGCACGGGAAGAACGGACACAGGGAACCCAGGATGGAGAGGGGGAGGGTGCTGTCACACTGTGGGGACTGCAACCAATGTCACAAAACAATACATGTATAAATTTTTGAATGAGAAATTAACTTGAGCTATAAAATTTCACCTAAAGCACAATTTAAAACAAAAAAAAGATGGTAGTAGGTAACCCTCCCACAGCACCTAACAAATTGTAGTTAAAGTCCAAACTCCAATGAATGATATCCAAGTCAACCACCACCTGGCCGCAGCCTCGTATCCCGGAAGCAGCCACTGGGCTACAACTCTCTAACGGCCCAGTGCTGATTCACATCCCATGCGTCTGTGTCTGCAGCTCCTTCTGCCAGGGACGCTACCTCTTCTGTTCTGTCACTTTATCACACCGTATGGTGCTGTCTGGGGTGGACTTCTCCACCGGACTACAAGCTCCTCGGAACCTGGAGCTTCCTTCTCTAACGCTTCAGCCGCAATCCTAACCCGGCGCTTAGACATGGTGCCCTGGATGAACAAATAAATAATACCTGCCTGCCGGAGCTCCTCAAAGGAAGGTTATCGGAAGACTGGTCAAAAGATGCCTTTTTTTTTGTCCTTCCCCTTGGGGTTGCCATTGTATCAGAAAATCTGCAACAACAACAAAAAAAACTTAAATATTAGCATCTGTTGTACTTTCCATGGAGTTCCTGGGTGGCGCAGACAGTTAATGTGCTCAGCCGCTAAGCAAAAGGTTGGCAATCTGAGTCCATCCAGAGGCACCTCGAAAGAAAGTCCTGGTGATCTACTTCTGAAAAATCAGTCCCCGAAAAATCCACAGAGCACAGTTCTACTCTGACGCACACAGGGTCGCCATGAGTAGGAACTGACTTACGGCAATTTTTCTTTTTTAAAATACTTTCCACACGCTGGAGCAGAGTTCCTATGTAGTTTAGTAGGTAAGAGTGTTTGCCCGGCAGTCAGACGGCCTGAGTGCAGTCACCACTTTCAAGTAACTATTTAAGCTAAGCCTTAGTGTTCTCATACGTAAAATGGGTGTAGTTCAGAGCCTACCATAACACTGGCGAGGATTAAATAAGATAACCTAGTTAAAGCATTCAGTATCAGGCCTGGCGTATTATAAGCACTCAATAAGTGTTAATCATTAGTAGAATGCACATTTAAAATTAAAAAATGAGAACCACACCATGCTGACAACCAATAAATAAATCACACTACAGCTTAAAAATTAATAAGTAAAAACGCCTAGCTCTGTGTCCCTTATGGTCCTCTTCATCTTTCTGTATCTTCTTAGCAGTTCTTAAATTTTGACCTCTTACATTTCAAGAGAAAATTCATTCATTTCTTGTTAGTAAAACCCAACAAACACACCTCAGGGGTACTGTCTCACCACGACTGCATACAGGAGTCTGGGTTAGACAGACATACTCATTGCTTCTACCGGAAAAACTTGATGGGTTTTCCAACAACTCTCAGAAAAGCATGGCTACACAAACTCTGACAAACATCAACAAGGGAAATAATGCACAGGAACCATGAACGACTAAGAGCTACCAAATTAGTACTTATTTCATTAAATTAGATAAGGAATGTAACCTGCTCTGCACCAAGTTGCTGCTGTTAGCTGCTGTTCAGTCAGCCCCTAACCCGTGGCGACCCCATGCACCATGGAACGGAACGACTGTTGTGATCCATAGGGTTCTCACTGGCTGATTTTTTGGAGGCAGATCGCCAGGACTTTTCTCCTAGTCTGTCTTAGTCTGGAAGCCCTGCCGAAACCTGTTCAGCATCATAGCAACACGCAAGCTTCCACTGAGAAAAGCGGTAGCTGTGGTTGAGGTACACTGGCTGGAAATCATTCTCCTGCACTGAAGGCCAGAATTAAACCCCCAGGCTCAGTAACAGACGGGTTCTACCGTTATCATTCCTGTCTCTCCCTGACCCACTGTACATCTCTCTACACACAAAGTACCAGATGGGTTCTACCGTTATCATTCCTGTC